CAGCAGCTCACTGCCTCTCTCGCCAAAGAGTGGGCTGTGAGGTCTGGCACAATGGCAGTGGCGCTGAAACTTGTAGGGATGAGGAGTGATTCCAGGGCAAACCTTGATCTGTCTTGGGGGCCAAGCAATGGGAAAGCAGGGAAAAACTCAGTGTTCTGGGGGTACCCCATGGATGGGTTGGTGACAAGGGGTGTATTTCAAACGGTAGCACCTGGTACATTTTAACTGTTGTGTGTGAGAGTGAGCTGAGAACAAATCAAACACAGCAAATCTGCTCTAACTTTAACCTTGACAAAGGAGTGTTGCAGTTGGAGCAGTTTTACTGCGTTTGAATCATTTTCAGCTCCTTTACACACAGAATTAGAACGTACCAGCTCTTGCCCTTTGAAATGTTCCCCTTTTGAAATAATTACAAATGTACATGTGTCCGTACCCTGTATGGCTTTTGTCCTGCATTTTTATAGCACTCAGTCCCAGTGAAGTTGGATGCTGGGCTCTACATATGGGTCATACTTTATCTTAAAGCACAAAAACTAATGCAATATGCAATACTACCAAATAATATACATTACATATAAATGTGTGTGTGTGTGTATTCAGAACTCTGAAGATCACAACTCTAGTTGGTGTAAATCAACTCAGCTCCACTAAAGCCAATGATATATAAATATAACCAATATAAACATTGATTTATAACAACTGCAGATTTGACCCTGAATGTTCAGACATTTATGAATTTTCAGTCTTTTAATGAATTAATATAATTTAAATTATAAGTTCTTTTTATGATGGTACTAGAGCTTTATTATAAAATTAACTCACTGTGTCCATGAAATGCAAATCATCTTTGCTTCCACCAAATACCATCACCTCCCCTTCTTTGCCAAGACAGGCTGTATGCCACAACCTAAAAAATTATAAATATAATGAGTGACTGAATAATAATGGATTACTTGCCTATTATTAGTAAAACAACCTAAATTAGCTGACTTAGTGTTTTTATTCATGCAAAAATAAAACTGAATAAGGACACAACAAACATACTTAAAGGGAGCACTCCATTTTGTAAATGCTAAGACTTACCAAGAAGAACTTTAAACATTTTAAAACTTTTATTTTAGTGAAAAATACAGCATTCCAGGAGGCTCCAACACTCAGAAATAAAATCTGAAAGATCAAATTATTCATGTCTTTACCAGTATGAGAAGATTAGAAGTAGGGAAGAGCAATATGATCAGGCATTTTACTTTGAAGGGGCTTTGTTGAACAATTTTCCTATACACTAATATATCAATGTGCCTGTCATGCTTCTCTGTAGGTTAGTTATACATATTTTGGCTTAATTATCAGTACTCTACACAAAATGCTACAGTGGAAAAATTAGATAACTATAAAATATCTCTGTTCTTATAAATATTTTATTTTATAACATTTTCCACTTTATTATTAATTCATAAGTAGAGTACTGACTGAGCTGAGGTTGTGAGTTCTTTGGTGCTGACTCTCATTCCTGGATTCTAAAACTGCGGTCACAGAACACAGGCCCTTCTGTGCCAGCTCCCATCAATCTCTGCCTCACCCAAGATTTATGTGGATCATTTTCTTTTTGCTACGCATTTTCCAAAATCAGGCTCAAGGTAAGTGTATTGTGTATATGAAATAGCTTGGAAAAAAATCTTCTCTTATAAACTTACTTATCAGATTCACATAAACAGGTTCCACTGTGCTGCATTTATTTATTTAAGGATTAACTGACCAAATTCTGTGCTGTTTTCTGCTAGCATTATCCCCAGTAAAGGGGATAAGAAGGGATAAGAGTCACTGCAGAACTGGGGCCCTTATGTTTATTTAGCTACTAACAAAAGTATGCATAAATGGAATTGTCATTCAAAATGCATTCATATTTTCTTACTTCATTCATTTCAGTAATTATTCACTCTTCTCCTTACACTAAACTGTATCCCACCTTTTTTCTTCCTCATACCTGTAGATAGGTCTGTCTCTGTCTTATCTGCATTAGGAAAACTGTGGCCTGGACTTCCTCATCGAAGAACACTGGAAAGCCTTTCCTGCCTTGACTTTGTTGACATTCTAGCTTGCAACCTGATGCTTTTTCTATAGACTGATAGAGTTTATGTCCTCTCACAGCTGCTCTAACTTATCATCACCTAAACATTCTAATAAAGCATGTTATTTACATAATGCATAAGCTGAATTAACAATCTTTTCACACAGTCTCTCTACCTACAATTAGAGTCATGACAGTTTATGCTTTAGTTAAACAGTGGGAGTTTACAGCTTAAACATAAAATTAATTCTGGGGGGAGATGGCGGGAGGGAGGGGATTCAAAGTGGGAGGAAGGGAGAGGAAGGGAGGAAAGGTTTTTTTATAGAGCTGTCAGAGAGATTATTTATTATGCATCATTCAAAACAAAAATAATTCAGAATTTTTAGGGGGACCACCATAAATATTGTTTTAATTGAAGCTCAGGTAAATATATCAATAAACTTGTGCATGTGACATATGCTACATTTTTATATAGGTACATATCAAGATTTTTACCTACACATTTAAGAAACTGTTCTCAAATCATTCCATGGCAGAGGTTCTGATTAAAGACCTTCTATATTGCAGAAGTTCTGCACTAATCCTCTGCATATATGAAGGCACAGGTATAATGCTCTGCACCAGTTTGAAATAATCCAGCATATAAAGGGACTCTGGGTATAGACCACAGCAGATGCCTTTATTCTGTTTATTGGGCTAGAAGGAAAGCCTGTGCAAGTCAATCACAGAACAAATTTCAGTGAGGTCTGATCAGTCTCAGATGTATCCACTTGCTAAAAATCTGAGCATAGGAGTCATATATATTACTCTAAACTACAGCCCGGAAGAGTGCCTGTCAAGTGGTTCTTTGGCCTGCCCCATTCAGGACAATCATATAAAGCTGGGTTACTTTTATATGATCCAGTAGCTACTTTATGGGAGAAAGTGTAACTAGGGAACTGGAAAGGAGGTCAGATGATAGTTTCTATTTGTGACTCTGCCGTGACCTGAGTATTACCTAAGACAGATAACTCCATCTCTCGCTACCTCAGTTTCTTCATAAGAAAAAAAATGAAAAATGATATATACCTTCCTGTGCATAGCATTTTGAGAACTATAGATGGATAATGCTACAAGAAAGCCAAGTAAAACTTGTACTTGGAAATAAAATGCCACCTTGACTTGACATGCACTTCTTTCTTTATAAAAAGTATTAGTGCCAGCATTCATTATAAAGTATAATAAATACTGAAGATAATAGACAACACATAGTAATGAAAAACCATAAAACATAAGTTGTTTAAGCTCAGTTTCTAAAATATTTTGATAAATACGTTATTTTAAAGGAATATGTTCTGACTTAACGCAACATATAACTGTTTTAAAATATTCAGTAGTTTCAGTAAATGCTGTTCTTTCTTTCTTTTTACCTAGGCCTGCTCTTCGGTAAGTGGGTAAGTTGTCTCCATCCATTTGTTGTAGTACTATGAATCCAACCATCACCTGCAAATAAGGAAAAATATACATCTTAGTACTCCTTCTTGGGGAATAAAATAGTACCTTTTTGTTTTATATTATCACTATTATATATTATCACATCAAGAAACTGCTCGTTATAGTTAATGAATTAACAACTACCATTTCAATGTTTTTATAACTGAACACAGTAAATTCTCTTTTATTCACAATAGAAAAAGTCAATTACCTTGACATCTGGACTTAAAACACTTTAAAAAAATAAAATATGCAAGTCAAATTAAGAAGACTTTTTTAAAATGACAGAACTATATTCATCATTGTGAAGCCTGCTATGTCTCAGATAATTCATAAATCTTAAAACCACCCCTCAGTATTCCTTCACTTTCTTTCTCTCTCTCTCCCTGTATCGGTTATTGTTTAGACATTAACCTCAACTATTCTTTTTTCATTTAAGTAAAAAGTTCTCCAACTTTTTACTTGCAGGTTGCATAGGTCAAACTGGGACATGTGACTAATGCTACATTTATCCCAAAACAGCTATTGTCTCTAAATTATTATTTGTGAGTTGTTAGTGCTATTATTGGTGCAATTCAACTGATGACAATTAAGTGAATGAATGAAAATCTCGCCCTTGTCTTTTACATTTTAAGCTCTTTGTACTGTATAGTATGTATCTACAGTGCTATATAAAATAATAAACTCTCTGAATAACTATTCATGTAGGGTGAGAATCATAAAACAACAGCTGGAACAAAACAGCTTCATAATAGAGATGAATATGTATAACATCCTGGTTGGCACTAAAAAATGCATGGCAGACTCAATAACCTTTAAATTACTTACTGAGTGGAACATTATCTGAACTCAGTCCACCAAAGAGGAAAAGCTTGTCATCCCCTACAGAAGTCAAAGTGTGCCAAGATCGATCTTTTGGTTTCTCTCCATTAGTATGAATTCTTGGTAAAACAAACAAGGAAAAAATTAAAAGAATGCTAAAACTAAACTTGTCTGGCAGTTCACTGCATTCTATAAAGGCAGGGACCCTCCTCTGATGGTAAAGGCTATGCCTCAGCTACGCTCTACAACACAATGCTGTTCAAAACTGAAACAAAAAGTCTTGTACTAATTGTTATGAGTACAAGCTATTACATTATTTAAAACTATTACTTATTATTATTTAATAGCTGCAGAGTAAAGTGTCACTGTCTACATGTGGAATGCTATTAGGTTGCATTAAACTAATTAACACAGCCATAATTGTTCTCTGAACAGACCACTTACAATAATTATATTTACAAATCTCAAACTCATTGCAGGATTTTTTAAAACTAGTGATGTGATTATTTGATGCACACGATCAGTTTTATTTTAGGAAATGAAGAATAATGTACTGAAAATGCACAGGCTAAATAGCTAAACTCACTTCTATTATTCAAGCTAAATGTAACTAGTGGGGCTACAGAATACTATAGTTCTTCTGTTCCTGAGAAGAGTTATATCTTTAATGAGTGTAAGCGGTCAGGACTTTGGCTTTACCTCTTATCCAAAAAGATGCTACATTATCACAGTGCCACAGATTCACCCAGACTTGAAGGGAGGAAAGCTACCCTTTGAGAAACTTCAACTATTTTCTGAGATGATGAGGAGTTTCTTGGAACTCCCCAAATAACTGAACTCTTTGAATGATGAATAGCTTGCCAGGTCTATGTGAATTGCAAAACAAGGCAGGTGTACATCTGTAATACTTTTAAAAAATTATGGTTGTGTCTCATAAAAAGTGTGGTTCTTCCAGATGTCATCTCTGTAGGTTCCACTCCAGGTGCAAAAAAGTCTCAGGTGCTTTGGGATAAGAGTCTGAACAGTCACTGGGCTGCACCTGTATTGGATATGCATCTTTGCATGTTCCCACTAATGGCATAAAGAACAAGCAGTTATAATCATCCCTTGCTTCCCGCATCAATTCAGAATCTTTGTTGAAAGAGAAATCTGAAAAATCAGGGGTAGAGGGCAGGTCAAGTGACTCACATGGATAACTCCAGAAAGAGGCAGTTACCATGACGGTTTTATTTTATTTTGGATATGTGCCTTGTGTTTCCCAGTCTAGATGACTGCTAAGCAATGCCTTACCTGGAAGGCCAGACTGTAGCATCCTAGCTACCACTAGTCAATGTAACAGGCCACATCTACATGTGTGCTTAACTACAGAGTACACTAATTAGCTGCAGAGTGAAGTGTCACTGTCTATATATGCAAAATTATTAGGCCGCAGTAAATTAATTAACACCACCATAAGACAGTAATGTGGTAGGGACCGTAGGGGACAGTACTATCTAATGGCAGGATAATTAACTGCAATTAAATGTATGTGTAGACACTGACCGCAGGTGTAAATCGTGCCCACTCAGCAGGGGGCCAGACTCCTGTCTGCCACCTAGCCATACAGCTCTGCACTTTCAGCACCCTCGTGCCCCAGGCAGCCCTGACACTACCCAATGCCACCACCTGGAGCCTGGGTTGATTTCGCCCAACCTGGTGCCTCCAGCCCTAGTGTAAAATGCTCCGCCCCAGCTCAAATTGCTGCTGTCTCTGGACACATGTAGGTGCTGCACTTGGGAGTAGTTTACTCCGGGTCAAACTGCTCCAGAGCTTATTGCTTCAGATTAACTGTATGTGTAGACGTGCCCACAGTGTCCTAAAAAATATGACATCTTATCTAGCATCCAGGTCAGGAGTATAGTGTTTAAAAAAAACTAAGGAGTTTACTCCAAATTGCTGCCTTGCTGAACTCAGGTGTAGGAAAGTTTCTAAAACATACAGAAGAGGCAGCTTGTGTTATACAATAATGAGCTTTGACATTTGGAGAAAAAGATGAGTAAGACAGAAATGCCATGAAGATATGAGGGTCTGCCTAAACAAGATACTTTAACATGGCACCAAAATCATTCAAGATGTGAAGTTCTTTCCCCTGGAGAGGAATGTGATTTTGGAAAAAAAACAGGGAGGTCAACAGACAGATTCAAACTGAAGTCTGACACAACAGTGGGAATAAATTTTGGATGAGCTCTCACCACCACCTCAGCTGTGTGAAATTGTCTGAGGAGGATCAACCATGAGTCTCTGCAATTTGCCAACCCCTCTGACTGATACAATGTTAAGACTTTATGTTAAAGGAGGCCATTAACTGGTGAGTAATTATGGAGTAATCCCTTGATAAATCTTGTATAGTGAGATACAAGAAAACAGAATATGACAAGATGGGGAGGCAGCAGGGTCAAAACTCTTTCAGTGAATGGATCTAAATGGCAATGATGCAAATGGCAGTCCACAGAGTTTCAAATGTAAAAAATTTCACAGATTTTGGGGGCAGACACATCAAATTGGTCAACTTGTATGCAGGACTATGGAAACTTGCATGTAGATACTTTTCAATTTTTCAGTAGGATTTCTTGTACTCGAAATCTTTGTCATTAGCTCTCAGCTACACTATTGTGTAATTATCCAGTTTTGGATCCATTTGAAGCATGTGACTCTGGTTCTGCGATTTTTGACTCTCACTGTGCAGAAGTATAATCATGCCTAAGTAGACATTCTGAGGGGATTATCTGACCGGATGCTGCATTTTGTCTGATATTCCATACTACCCTAATTATCAGAATTCAACACATATGTGTATATGGGACCTTGCTCCTACACTGCAAGAAAGGTGCCTTGCAAAGTGTCATGGCTCTCAGATCTTGGAAAAGTAGAAACTTCATGTTCAATTTGGTGGCAAAGAAATCTATACTGTAGTTTCGCCATCAGTAAAATGTTGGAGTGACAAGGATGCTTTCTGAAAACATTTGTGGTTGGTGATAAATTATCTGCTAAAGAAATATGCCAAATCACTGTTTGTTTTTGAGATATAGAAGGTCATTGACCATCCAATTTTAATGACATCATTACTTCAGGATTGCCAATTCCATTAGGACTAGCTTCTAGCAGGCACTGCCTTGCTTGTTTATATAATGCTTTTTAGACGTATTCTGTAAAAGTCTGCATTTTAGAATTTTTAAAAATAGGCAGGAATGTTTTGATGCATTTTAACTAGAATATACACGTAGAATCACATTCTTTTGGGGCCAAGTTTTGTACTGCAAGAAGGTCTGTGTATTATGCATGCATCTGTAATTAGCAGCTTTGTAGGAAGAGGTATATTCTGAGCACCAGGCTCAGTGATGACAGAGTATAAGTTACAAACAACATGCAAACCCATTTGATAATACATCATGGAGCGATACACCGTACTTACGGTACCTTGCATTGTAAATTGATGTAGGTACCATAAATATGGTTAAGGGTGTTGTGTGCACACTGACACGTGTCTTAGCAGTCCAAGGCTGGTTCTTACTGTAGTTGATACGTTCATTTTGATTCTGGGTATAAATCATCTGCACATACCAAAATCAGTCCTTGAGTAGCTATGCATTTTTTGACTTGGAATTAATTAAAATCAACATTCTAGTGATAGACTGAAGGACAATTTTTCAAAATTTGCCACAAAGCCCAACTGTCACAACAGGTAATGAACAAAGTTCAGGGCTATAGAAACATCCTACTAAGGCCAGCATTTGAAAAAGCAACCTATATATGGATAAATATGAATGCTTTATCTTTTCAGTTACAAATCTGTAACAGCTAGGCATTTTGTAGTGACACCCAGGGCTGTGAAAAGGCTGAATGACAGAATGTAGAACTGGTAATAATCACAAATTACACAGACTGTAATTTACATAGAATCTGGAACTGAAATTAGGTTAATTTTAGGTTAAGGTAAAGGTGCAAAGAGACAGGTAAAAATAGCACCTTGAGCGGGATCCACACAGACTTATAATCAAAGCAGTTGTATTCCACTGTCTTGCACAGTGAGAGACAACATCAGGAAGAACAGACACAATCACAATAAATCATTTGTTCCTGTTCATCATGATTCCTTATCTTCAGTGTATTCCATCAGAAATGTTACTTTCAAAGAACAAATAACATAGTTTCTCCCACACAGCATACCCCAGAACAAGAGATATACCTTGTTTTTGAAAGGTAGAAGGAAGAAAAAAGACTTTTCCTTCAAAATATTGGTAAGTAGCAATAAGTAACTGAGTACCAGCAACTATGTAGTAGGTCTCTGCAAAGCCTCGGTAGCTGATTCGATTTGGAGGAGATTCAATCCGATTTGGGGACCAAATCTCCGAATCCAAATTGAATTGGGAGACCAAGTAAAAGCTCTGAATCAATTTGAAGCATCCAAATCGATTTGGAAAAAGATTCAGAAAAAATATGGCCAATTCAAAGATTTGGCCATAGACTAAACAGGCGACTGACGCAGCTGCCTCCAGCTGGTAAGTCTGTTGGGGTTGGGGGGAGGGAAGGGTATGGGGAAGGGAGGGATTGGGGCTGGGACAAACTGCCCAGCTGGAGCAGGGGACGTGTTACTCAGGGAGGGGGATGGGGGGAGTGTGAAATGCAGGCATGGCAGCACTGGGAACGGGGGCTCTGCTCTGCTGCCGTTTGCCCAGCTTGGGTTGGGGGGGCGGGATGTGGGCGAGCCTTCCTTCAGGCAGAAAGGGGCAAGCAGCAGCAGAGCATAGTCCCTGCTCCCAGTGCTGCCACGCCTGCATCCTGTGTCCCTCCCGCGCCAGCTGGC